AATGAAGCATTTTCTCACTTCCATCCAATTCATATATTCCTTTAATGTTTTCTAAAAATCTAGACCCCGATTAATGACAACCGATTCAATTATCTAATTTATAAATATATTTAGTTAAATATGACTGTATACTGTTTCTGTTTCCTTAGATTAAACTATATATCTACATTAGTAAATGGTTCATCAGTCATAAGCAACGTAGAATGTGATACATGTGACACATATAAGCACAGCTAGATGCTAGTGATAGAAATATCATTATCTGGGATAGTTAAGAAAATTAGGCATAGATATTGAGACTTGCGAAATTATAAATTCGTGAAATAAAAAAGATAGGCCAATCTTAAAAATCAGGATTTAAAGGAAGATAGAGTCGGCGTATCACTGTCCTTATGACCGGTTCCGAGCCACGTCACTCAAGGTCTCCAAATATTGCTTACAATAATTGCAGAAACTTCAACCAGTTAATCTGAATCCACCAACATGACTCACTACAACAGTCAACATCTTTACGAACTGAAAAGAACTCTTGATCTCACAGCACGTAGCTTCCCTCCAACTTAATCCTACAACAACTAACATTCCATGCTCATTAATTCGACTAATAATATCTGTTTACTAGTCGTTTGACTGAATGAAAGCCTAAGTTTAAAAAAGACAGATTTACAAAGAAAACCTAAGTAGCTAGAAATTAATTCATATTCATTCACTTTGATATAGAAAAGTTTCAAAAAAAGGAAATTACTCTGATAGTCGCATCACTTGTGAAAAATCGCATGAACACTAGTGTTTTTTAAAGATATCATTGACAATATTAATCAGAATAAAAACAAGATTCACTTTAATTACTGGATCCGTCATCATTTAAAACATCTATGTCATTTTAATATTACATAAAAGTACGTAGTAAACCTTACTGACAGTTTTGTATTTCCCTAAAGGATTTCTGCTTTCTCTCAGATCTTATTAACAAAAACGCTTTATATAATGATCAAATTTCTAAATTACTGAACAAAACAAGTTAAAATACAATAGTTGTAATCTAACCCATAAAAAACACAACGTGAACATATACATGATCTGTTTTACATGATAATACATGAATCGTCATCAATGACTCATTATATACAAGTTCATGAACTAGGCCTTAGTTCAAAGTATTGATTAACCGGATACGAGCGTGTATTTTGAGTCAACGATAGGGTAATTAAAACATTATATAACTCAGAAGGGGTTTTTGTGGAGATTGTAGTAATTTCAATAGTTGAGATCATGAGTCAATTAAAGCTAGACAACCATGGAAAGCATGGAAGCACTGGATGGGCGTTTTGTCCCAGTGTGGGGCTCCTCAGCAGTACGCATCCACGATCCCACCTCGCGGGATTCGAGTCCAGGGCCACTCAGTCGGCATACAATGGTGTTATATAACTGTTAGGAATATTAAACTTAATCCTATTAACATGTATTTTAAATGGCTAGGCTGATCACTGAAACTTTCTATCAATAAATTAAAAGCTTAAAACTATTACTACTAAGCTCATTTTACAATACTTAGCTTAACCAGTAACCAGTAACTTTTGTCACAATGATGACGTGTTAAAATAGCCAATGGTCATTTTTTAACACTGCATGGATTGTTCATATATATTGACAAATTTTCCAGCTAAACCGATATACATAGAACCTGTGTCAGGTCGGGATTTCCCAACCAGTCTCATGTATAGCTTGATTGATTCACTGAACTCAATTATATCTAGTATTTTACCAAATAGACCATGTTATTGTAAAAATGAATTATCTCATTGAGAAATTTTAAAAACAAAGTGAATTACAACACCATTTTGATTAATATATGCCCGGTAGTATTTCACAATCAAGTGGAATTTATAGCTGATTACTATTTTTATTCTAGTATTTAAAAATCTGAATGCATATATACCGAGTGATTTAGTATAATTAAGTGGAATCTAAATGCAGATCACTGTATTCCAACTTGATCGTTTGAAAAAGTTGTGTACTATGTGAAATTTGGAAGTTTTGTGTTTATTAAGGTTAGGTTAGTCGGCGTTCAACAACGCCGAATACTAAATAACAATGACAGAGCTATCTAGTATCATTATTTTGAAATAACTCTATAATGAGAATTACATATACATATAAGTTTGTAAGTTTGATAATTTCGAATAAATTGAGCATTGGGTAGATTGTTATAAATGAAAAAATTCCCTGAAGAAGTGACTTAAGTCACGAAACTTCAGAAAATCTAATTTTCCTACTCATTGGGATATTAAAAATATATTAATTTATTTATATACATATAAGTAACTTTTCTTTGTTTAACTACTAAACTGTACCACCAAACATTATCCAAATGTTACATTGCATTGGTTACCAAATACTCTATTGTTTATCATTTGTTTAGTATAAACTCTTCCAAGTGTAGTTTTAAGCAACATAAGTTTAAAATTATTTAACAATAAATAATGTCATTCTATTAAGTGTCATAATACATAAAACTTTCAGCCGGTTATCTTTAACCATTCAATACATGCTTATAACTTTGGTAGATTATGTAAATTTTTGTCAGAAAAATATTATATCAGCTGTTATAACTAGTTAACAACATTTAAAGTGTGTATTTTAAAATCATTTCATTTATTTAAAAGCCAGACATTGAAAATATTGCATGATATTGGGGGGGGGGGGAGTTACCGTATACAAAATATAACTACTGATTTGTTCATAGTTCTCTGTAAGTAGAATGTTTCCTTAAATGAATGTCTATATGTGAAAGAGAAAGAAATGAATTTCAAACTTGGTATTTATTGGAAGATTTATCATAAATTGAACTGTTTCACTTGGATATAATTAGATAAAATAAATTATGTTCATTCACTTAATTAAGCAGTAATCATTAAATATTGTGAACTATGTGTAAAAACAAAAAATGAAGAGAACAGAACAGAATTTAAAAGTTACAGGGTTATGATAAAATATTTTCACAGATAATCCCATATTGAATTATTTCCAAATTTGTAATCCGTCAGATAAATGATATTAGTTTTATTATTTACTGAAGAGAGTTATCATGCCTAAATATATGAATGTTGTATAACTGATGAATAGAAATAAGTTGAAATGAAATATATTATACTTAAACTTTAACTATTAAGTAGCATTTCAATCTTATTTAGGTTACACCAGCTGAATATGGATAAGTTTCCCTTTTTTTTATTATTTCAACTCGGACTGTTATTCAAAACATTATCAACATGTCAATGTGGATAATTTGTGAATCCAGAAGTTAATGTGGCATAAAAGATAGAACAATTCGTTGATGAATTTCAGCGAACAAAAAATTTCAAGTACAGAGATTATAAATAGACTTATGATTTTTAGTTGATAACTTACATTTTTAATTATTTATTTCTACGTATTGAAAAAGAACAACCTATAGGCCTTATATTTTGGCAGGAATGTGCCTTTTGTAAAATTTAGCATCCTAAATTAAAGTCAGAATGAAATTACAGGTGTACTTGATTTAGGTGGCATGGATCTTCTGAAAGTTACACATTTTCTCGATCATACAGAAAAATTATTAAGATTTTTCTCCATACTTTCTATGAATTCTCATCACGTTTTATTCCAGTCAAATCAAATTAAAGATTGTTAACAAAGTAAAACCTGTTGCACGTGTAATTCATTTTTATAAAAACAAATTAGGTTTTAGTAAGTTGGGTGGGGTCTAGCATTCAAAACTTGACAATTTATGTATCGATAGTTGATTTACAATTTTCGAGCTTGTTTTTATCATGCCAACCGAATATGAGTATGATGAAACAAACTAAACTTAGTCACAAAAAGTTAGAAATTCAATGTTTTTTTTGCCTACTGAGACATTACAAATTTGTCTTCAATTTTTATCAATAACAGTCTAGTGCAAATCAAACCTTGGTAATGATAAAAGCACTTTAAAAAATTTGTTCCATTACTAATCGACATGACTAAATAACATTTAACTCACTCACTAAATTTCTTTTCATAACATTTGAGTCGATTCGCACTTCTGAGGAGTCCCACACTGGGACAAAACGGCCGTCCAGTGTTTCCAGGTTTTCAATGGTGGTCTAGCTTAGATCGACTCATGAATTCAATTGTTACAATACTACAGTCTCCGTAAACTCCCATTCTGATAAAGATGATCAGTCTGATAATGAAGACAAATATAACTTAATACTCAGTACTCTTGGTTTTAGAAAGATGTAAGCTTTAGAATTGTAATAATATATAAATAGCATTTTAATGTTTCATGCTTACGATTTGTTGTATTTTGCTTTTGAACAAAAAATATTAATCATCAGATGAAAGTGTCAAACGACAAATAATCTCGTACACCTATTTTATAAATTTTTCTTGAAGAATGTCATTTTACTACTTACAAGTATTTGTATGCAATAGACCCTTAAACATCACGGAATAATCTAAGTTAACAATAATACTTCACTGCTTGTTTCACAGTTCAAATATCGGATTATTCATCTAGTTAAAAATAGAGATCAGTAAAATTACACAAGTTTATTTTACACAGTAAAATCATCACTACTAGATGGACTAGATAAAAATCAAGGTCAAATAGTTTCACCTTACTTGCTCTTCATTATTGAGCCATACAAGCATCTGAACATTTATAAATACATTTCAAATATGGAACTACTTACTGATTTAAAGCAATCAGTCCCTTTGATAAATTTAAATTAATGTAATCTGATAATCTTCATCTTATTGTACTTACTGATCGCTCTTGATTCACGACTACTAAATAGCGAATATCCTTTTGATTATTTTTATAAACAAGGATAGAATTCCATTAGCACAGTATAATTAAGCTGACGCGATAATTATTTTATTATACAAGTCATGACCCGATTCTAATTCCAAGCCAATAACTACTTGATCATTGAACAGTGATAATAATACAAACTGTTATCATCATAACTTACATGTTTCACACATTCAGTAAACAAATGATCCCATAAAACAGTGTTCAATCAGTTTTAATACGAACTAAGTGATTTTTCTTAACAAAAATTCAATTGTTATTTCTGATCATTTTCTTCAGTGAACATGTAATAACCAAAATAATCCTCAGTAAGTCCATAATACAATTAATGACTAACAATGGAAGTAATTACACTGATATTACTGTTAAGTACATTTCCAAATGAATCAGTTATATCATTGATACTCGTAACATGTATTTACTATGACAATTTATGACATTATGCCTTGCTTCCATTGATTCGAATCGTTCGTGAATCATCTTGTGCTATTTTATCTGTGTATACAATAGGAAGTTACTAAAATTCAGTTATAATTATAATTATTGCTATTACTTTTACATTCAAACATACATAAGCATTTTCATACATACATACAACATACATATTACGTACATACGTACATACAAAAGACACCCAATTATATAACATATATTTATGTGCCTATAAACTATTATTTTTGTATTCATATATACCTGAAATAAAAGTATGGTCGTCTACAAATTTTCTCCTATGTATATAATATTTTCCCATCTCTATAGAGTACATATTTATCTATGTTGAATCAACTTCGTTTGGAGTTATTAGTTCATTCAAATTGAAAGTACCATTTCCAGACAGAATTATCACAGTAAGATACTGCTCTGTGATTGGTTTTATGTATATTTTTGAAGTCATAAGTATACAAAGGTTAGATATTAAAACCAACCAATTAAATTCAACACTTGAATAAAACAAATTCACTCTTTTTCATAATAATCATAATAAAACGTTTCACAAAATAAGAATTGCTAATTTCCCTTTCTGTTTCAAATTCATTTTACTTATGAAAGATAATTTTTAGTTAAAATATCATTATGATAAGTAAGTAGATTAAACTAGATATGAATGTCCAATTTACAATTCAAATAACATTTTAGTTAGTGACTTTACTCAGAAAAAAGATGAAGCAGCAAACTAGCTTGTTAAACTGATTCAAAGAACATATTCCGAAGGGTTTGAGATCAAACGGACCAAAAACATTCAGCAGCGCTATCGCAAGACATCTCGTTGACATAGGACACGAAATCGATATACTGAAGTCCTTCAAGGTGATCAACAAACAATCAAATTCCAACCTTTTAAAATTTGCCGAAGCGATAGCAATCAAACGTTTAAAACCAGATCTTTGTATACAAAAAGAAACAGTAATAAATCTTTCTTTGCCCTGGTAACATTAACCCCTCTTTTATTTATTACGTCATTCCAACTCTTTCCAAAAAATTTTATAATTACATCATTCATAACTGACCAATTTCAATTCATATCTCTCTTTATTACCATTAATCTATTTTCAGTTACTTCATTACATAATCATCTAATGTGTTTTAATTCCATGAGTTCTAATCACGATTTCTATGTTATGGAACCTTCCCTCCCAAACTATATATATTCGAAACAAAATTTTTATAACCTCATTATCTCTAACAGCATCTTTGCTACATCATGTTACTTATATTCATCCTTCATCACCCTCTTATGTCTAAGTATGTCAATATCTGTAATAACGTTGAATTTCAAATATTTTAGGTTGTAAGCAGCTGATGAGAACCTAACGAAATAAAATGAATTCATATTATTCTGCACCAACTTTTGTTCTTGCTCTCTTTAAAACCCAATTTAAATAAAAGTAGTTCTCGCTGAAAAATTTCCATCATATCAGGACGAAACGGCCGTCAAATGCTTCTAGGTTTTCAATGGTAGTCTAACATTGATCGGTTCATTATTCTAATAAAATTCAACAATCTCCACAACCCCAAACCGAAAAAAATATAGATATGAACGAAGAATGTTCTTTTCGATAGAACAATGAGAAGACGGAGTTGATCTGAAAAACGCTCTATCGAAATTTATAATAGGGACTAATTGCTTTAAATATTCTTTCCAATAAATTATCTTCAAGTTCTACACTTATATTTTCAAATTAATAACCCAAAAATTGACTAGGTTTAAGGTAAATATATATAGTAATAAATATATTTTTTATTATATCCTAGCGAGTAGAAAAATTGTATTTCCGACGTTTCGTGACTTAATGTAAGTCACTTCTTCAGATTATATAAATAACTGAATTAAATTAACCCGAGTCACGAAACGTCAGAAATACAATTTTTCTACTCACTGGGATATAACAAAAATATATTTATTATTAACTTTCTACCTCAATTTATTTAAAACTATCAAGTTCAACCTTGTCACTAAATCCTGTAAATATATATATTTTAAAAATATATCATAAGATAAGACAAAATAAACACCTTTAGATTTCAGACGAGTGGTTTAGAGATTGTGTTCGCGCGTGATACGAAAGTCCTGGGTTTGATTCCGACGTACGGAGTCGTGGATCCGCGCTTCTTGGGAGTCTTGTATCATGATGTGACAGTCATTCGGTCTTTCCAGGTTTGCTCTGTCGGCCTAGTTAAGATCAGTTCGGGATTTAAACTATTAAACAAACCTGTTCGTGCTGTGATGATTAGTGTGCAATTGTCGACTTGAATAAGTTTATATAATGAATTTGTAAGATAAATGATCTGAATAAATATAGGTAACATGAGGTTAAAGGTAAAATTATAATCAAAGATTAAAATGAATTTCTGATCAAAGGTTACGCAATATAAAGAGTAATATGGACGTGACCACTGAGCTATCCGGGCCGCGACCGATCTCCTGTAGGACTGAGATGTAATCACAATTGATTGATCACTGAGTGATCAATGTCATGCGTGTCTAGTCCTTATTATTAGTGCAGTTCGAATGAGTAATTGGAAGAAAGATGATTATTAACATTCAAAGTAATTATTAAATCGAGAAGTTGCTACGTTGCATAATATATGAAAAAGTGAAGGAACATAATTTGTAATGAATGGTTAATAGAATAGTAGTTACGTAAGAATCAAGAGATGAATGTTGAGAAATTACAAAGTTCAAAATAAAACAAAATTGAAAAATAAAAAAAACCCAAATGTGAGAAGTATGGAAAATAGTTCTGTTGAAGTGAATCTTATATCGATGGCCAAGGCAGCGAAAGTGGTTGTACAAATTTCTTTTGAATGCAAAGCTCAGGTTTGTGAACATAGACTGCGATGGCTTCCGCAATGTGCAAAAGGCGCACTCGTAAACCATGTGGTAAATTTGATGGGATATGGTAGATAACCTTAAAAACTTTATTCAATTCAACTTGATGACCTGTGTCAACCAAGTGAGCAAGAATAGAACTTTTAATCACTTTTACCTGTCCTTTGTTTAGCCACGACGGATGATGCTCTGTAATACGATGACGAACTTGCCGAATTGTGCGCCCTATATAACTGGCTCCACAGGAGCAGTTGAACCGATAGATACACATGGATTTGGCGAATTCAGGCAGTCTGTCTTTATTGGTCGTTCTTATCTTCTACAACCACCCCAAAATAATCATGTCTGAATCGTGTCTGAAATAACTTTACTATCTTTCTGCCAAAACATACTCAACGTTAAAATAAAAATGATCATATAACCTTGTTTATCCACTTCCTACGTATATCTGCAGTATTAATCGACTTGATAACTCTTACTGTCTTTATCGTCTTATGTGGTACATTTCTATGTCTAATCATTATCTAGCTTCTGTCCTTAACTTTAAATGGCAGTACCTAGCAAGCATTCAGAAATGGGATCGGCATTATGTAAGCGAACTGTTGGTTAATTCATATATGCTTTTGCATTATGAACATGAAATTACTATCTTTTTTATCTCCACAAAAATTATAATTGTGTTCGTTGCCATAAAATACATTTTCTTGATATTATATAGTGAACAATTTATTGCCAATAATGTAGCTAAAGAGATAATTTGCCATCTGTTAAGAATATTTGAGTGTAATACTGAACAAATGCGATCGCATTATTTGAGGAAGTATAATCTTACTAATGAATAGGCCTTCCTTATAAGTGTTTCAATGCAAAATATTTGGGTCCATGGATTCATGGCGACCATAGAATTTGCACATAGGATGACACTTTTCAGAAATACGAATCAACGGCCTACCCGGAGTCGGGCTCATGACCCTTGGGAGATTTCTCGGTAAACCCTTAACCTTTTGACCATTAAGTTGAAAACCATATATTCACATTTATAAGTGATACTTAGCTTTTTAAAAAATCACCAACGAAAAAACTATATGTCGCATTTGAACCAGTGGTTATAGAGATGATAATGATCACCCCAGGTATCACAAACTTAATAAATGATCTAGTACACATAATTCTATTCAAATCCCAGCTGAAGTAAAATTAGAATTTCGTTGAGATGAAAGCACATAGTTTTGACAAATTTCATCTCATCACATTTTATGCACTTATCAAAAGAAATAAATTGTTTTGGAAACAATTAGTCAGTTCAAATGAAATTAGTCAAAGAACTTAAGTACATTGATACTGATTTATGGAAAATATCCCATTAGATAGTCACTGACTATTGAGGCATAATGTTAACTGTTACTGAACTGAAACTGGATTTACATAATCTTTCATTCAGTCATATTACTAGGTAGTCCTTTTGGGAACTGGATTTCTGTATTCCACTTATTTTTACAAATTGATACACTGTTAATGCACATAGAAGAATGAACAGATATGAAAAACTAATCGAAATGTCCTATTTAACATAAGTTCGACAGCTGGAAAAGATTTTGCGTCTGATGATTGTAGGATAAGGGCAATTGTGACTGACTTTGTCATGATGGTACATAGTGAATGCCTTCGAACATTTTATATGTAAAAAAACAAGGAAAATTTTAAAACTGTTTTATTATAGTGAGATAAATAACTTAACAGTTAACTTGCTAGTTATCTTACAGTGATACAGTAGTACCTTGATGATCTACATTGCGAATTGATGATAGACAGCTATTGCATACTAAGAGTTATTAGAAATCGGTTTCGTCTTGATATGAGGCCGACTCCTCTGCAAAAAGGACTCACGAGCCCGTCATGAATCGAACCTAGGACCATTAAGTTTCATCGCGAACGCCTAATCTTGTATTATTCAAAAACCCATGCACTGATTGCTCTAAAAGTCGAAATTAAGAATTTTCAAAATTGACACCAAATCACTATAAGTATTTCAACTAGAGGTCCAGTTACACCAGGGGACAGTTAATAGCTGTCCGAATCAAACTTAATGTTTAAGAAACAGTCGCATTAGCTATAAGCCTGAAAACCTTGTGCAAACGGTAACATTATATTATCAGTAATATGATTTCCAAGACGCATGACTATTCGACATCCAATGTTTTAAAGGTGCCACACTCCCTGTGCTAAATGATTTGATTGCGAACTTAATTTAACAGTTTTAAAAACTAAGATTCATTTTTCTCATAATTAGTTTATAGATTTTGATGATTCTTTCACAATGAAGTATCATTTCACTTGGTATTGTTTACTTGAATCTTCCCATTTATGTTTAGGACTGTAATTGATCAGTCTCTTATTGACATATGTGCATACCATGCGGACTGCCTCGATATTGCTTTAATTCACAAGCATCATAAGCAAAGA